TGAAATGTCTAGACCAGGCAAGTCTATAGAGATAGAAAGTAGATTAATGACTGCTTAGGGCCCATGGTGGGGATAGAGGGATAGAGAAGTGATAGTTAAAGGGTACCAGGTTTATTTATGAGATGATGAAAGTGTTCTAAAATTGACTGTGATGATGGTTGTACACAGCTGTGAGTATTCTGAAGACCATTGAATTACATGTTTTAAATGGGTGAATTGGATGAGGTGTGAATTATCTCAATAAAGCTGTTTTAAAAAAATAAAATATTATTTTTTAAGTGAGTGTGGTTACTGTAATGGGATGATGGGACATGTGACACTGGACAGTGTGTGATCCCTCTAGAGATATTCAGATTAAAAAAATCTGGCTGAGACGTGGCCTGTTTCCCATCTGCTGGAAGAGATAGAAGCTCCTTGCTCAAAGGGCTGTTGGAAGGGAAAATGAGAAAATTCATGTAGAGCACTTAGCACTCAGCATATGCTAGACATGCAGGAGGCAGCAGTGGGCCTTGTTACTCTTCCATTAGACTCTAGAATTCCATGCTGGAGGGGCTGGTGGGGGACAGTCTGGAAAGGGAGGGGGTGACAAAGGGTCATCTATTGAAGCTGCAACAGTTACAGATTAAGCCTCCTGCATCAGCTTAGGTCATATGTTTCAATAAAAAAAATTGCAAAGTTTTCTAAAGATGCTTTTATTTACACTTTTATAAGGTTGAAAACTATATCAAATAATATATTTTTTAAAATCTTGAGGTACCTTTGAGGGAAGGCTGAAGATTGTGGAGGAATTGAATTCTCCCCCATTCCTGCAAGCCACATATAGGTGCCACCATTGTTAGTAAAATTAAGTATTTAGGACAAAAGGCCATGTGTGAAGGGCAGAGTCCACTGCTGGGCTCTTGGCTTGACTTGGCCACTCACCAACTGTGTGACTTAAGGAACAAATTTAACTTCCCTGGACTTCAGTTTTTTCAACTATAAAATGAGATGATGGTGGGTGTGATCTCTAATATTGCTTAAGCAAAAAACCTTTGAAGTCTATGATAATAGTCCAAATCTTATGGCCAAATAGGTAAACCAGTCAGGCTGTTCCAGAGGTGTGGACACAGGTCCCCAGATTGGAACTTGTTCCTTCTATTCCAAGGGTCTTGAGTTGTAGTTTCCCAGACTGGTGCTCAGAGAACACTGGCCAGAGAAGAACCTGCCACCTCCATCCTGATTCCCTTCCAGACTGAAGCATCAATGTGGTTCCTTCCTCTCTCTGGGGCTGGAGATACTGCCTTGACTAGCATCCCCCCACAAACAAACAAACAAACAAACAAACAAATCATGCCCACCGGAACCTAGGAATATGACCTAACTTGGAAACGGGGCCTTTGGTCATAGAAACAAGTTAAGATAAGCTCATAATGGATCAGGGTGGCCCTTATCCAATGACTGGCTTCATTATAAGAAGAAAATTTGGAAACAGATACATAGAGACACATGGATGAGAATGCTACGTGAAAATGGAGAAGGCAGAGATTGGAGTTCTGCTGCCACAGCCAAGGACTGCCAAGGATTTCTGACAACCCCCAGTAGCTAGGAGAGGGGCATGGAACAGATTTTGCCTCGGAGGCTCCAGACGGAACCAACCCTGACGACGTCTTGGTCTTGGACTTTCAGCCCCCTAAATGATGAGAGCGTAAGTTTCTCTTGTTTTAAGGCACCCAGTTTGTGGTACTTAGATATGGCAGCCCCAGGAAACTAATGCAGTGCCTCAGGTTTCTGCTCCCCCAAGTGCCAATGCCATCTTGAAGGGAAGACCCCAGCAGGCAGGGAGAAAGAGGGCTGTCTTTGGACACCCGTCACTTCTGTCCACCGACAGGCTCCTATAGTTGCTGCATGAGACTCAGCCTCACCCAGGCCCATGACATTCAGCATGGAACCGGGCAGCAGCGGGCTGGGAACCGCACACTCAGACCATGGAGTAAGGCTGCACTTGAAGTAGGATTTCCCCATGTACTTTTTACTGTGATTAACAGTAAGAAATACATCTTACACTGCAAACTACTACACATGTCCACAAAAGGAATTTCACATAACGAAACTTGTTCTGACTTAACACTTTGATATTTTCTATTCTATATTTTTAAAATGCGGTTGCTACCCAATAAATTGACTTACAGCTTATTAATTGATTACGACCTACAGTTTGAAAAACACTGAGTTGGAGGAAATGTGAAAATAGGAAGAACTCTCTAAGCCTATTCTTTCCCCTGTTTTACACTCAGAGAGACAATCTGACCATTAGCAACCTAATTCATTCATCAAACATTTATTAGCATCTACTATGGCTTTGAAAGAACCGGGGGCCATGAGAGGGTAGCGACACCAAGATAACTAGTAACGCTTACAGAGACACTCCCATATACTACGCCTTATGCTAAGCACGTTCTATGGATTTTCTCCATTAAGAAAATTAATGCTCAGATCATGTGCCTAAAGTCAGGCAGTTAAGAAAACGACAAGACTGGGATCTGAATTCAAGGCAGCTTAACCCCAGAGTCAATGAGCTTAACCACCTGGCTATCCAGGAACATACTAATAGAGGGAGGGGGGCTCACTCAAGAAGGTTTGAATAAATACAGCAAAATTCCATTTCTCTTCCTAGTCACAACTACTGCTAACAGTTCATAGAGTGTCTATTCTGACCTTTCCCTGTGTGTTTGATTACATGGGTACAATCAGAAAGATAATCCTCTTTTTTGTGCTCATAGGAGATTAAACATAAAAAGAACCTGTCTTTCCAACTGTCATTTGTAGCTGTATCTCTGAATTATTTTTGTATCAGTGCATATAGTTCTGTCTCAGTCTTTCCCACCCCTGCCTATTCCATTAGACCAGCTACTCCAGTTTATATCTCCTTGCCCCTATTTCTGGATGTTGAAATCATTTCTAAATTTTCAGTATTGCAAGAGGATTTTTGTCTATGTATCTTTGTGCACATGTGTGACAATTTCTCTCGGGTGAATTATTAGAAATGAAAGTACTGAGGGGAAGAATAGGTGCTTTTTAATAAATACTGTCAAATTCTGCCCCCAAGAGCCTGTAAAATTTCTGTTTTGACCATCAGTGCCTGAAAGTATGTTTCCCCACAGCCTCACTGTAGTGAATATTACCAATTATTTCCATTTTTGTTAATCTGATGGGTACAAAAATATTCTCTTTGTTGATGTATGTTTCCTTTGATTACATGAAGTTGAATTTTGTATCTCTGTGACATACATGGAATCTGTCATATACCCCAATATCCAAACCCTTGTTCTTCCTCTTCAATAGAGCCTCTCATTCTTAGCAGAGGAAATGACCTCCTAGAATAAAACCTACATTTCCCAGCCTCCCTTGCAGTTAGGTGTGGCTATCTGGCTAAGTTCTGGCCAATGAGATGCAGATAGAAGGACTGTAGGCAACTTACTAGAAATGTCCTTAAAAGGAGAGAGCATGAATTTTTCCACCCCTCATTTTCTTTTCTGCTGCCTGAAGTGTGTCAAGATGGCTGGAGTGGGAGCAGCCATCCTCTGCTGGCATACTAAGGAGGCTGGAGGGGTGAGATGGAAGGACCTGGTGCTGTCATATTAGCACTGGACTGTGTACATCTGCATTTCACTTATGTCAAGCTTGTTTAAGCCACTATTATTATTATCATTATTAATTTCTTCTGTGCAGCTAATCCTAAGCCAAACAAAGACAACCTATAAAAGATCTTGTTTGCAAGCCGCAGAAACTGGATCCTGGCTAGTTTACATAAAAGACAACTTGTGGAAGAATTTAGGGTTTAACAGAATCTGCAGGAGACTCTCTGACCAGGCTCAGAAATAAACAGGAACTAGTAGAGGGGCTTTGACTATGAAGGACCAGGATGGAGGCAACACAGCAAAAATTGCACAGTCAGATGAGCTTGGCCATGATGAGGCCAAGCACCTGCCACCTTTCCTCGCATCCCTCCATCTCCTCCTCAACCTCCGGCCCTTGGAGAGGCCATCCAGTTGGCTCAGCATGTTCCAATCCTGGCCCCTGTGGCCCCAGGGGTGTGGAAAGAGAGGAACTGGCCCCCTGGGCTTCCGTAGTGGGAGATGGGACCTGCCTTCCCCCATGACAACTTAAAACTGGGAAAAGCTCACTGTGCCCTGAAAGGTCAGCGAGGGTCAGAAGGAATTCCCAAGATGCCTCAGCCACTAGGGCAGCTGAGTTTCTGGGGGTGGAGCCAGACCACCACTTTTCCTTTCTGTTTCTGCCCAGGCTTCCCAAATATGGGTGGCTTCTCTCAGTGTTGTCGCCAGTCATACAGCACCTCTGTGCTGATTAGAAAAAGGGGCCTCTTCCCTAAGACACGTTACTGCTAACTGTGGCAAAAGTGTTATAATAGATTGATTATTAAAATAGGCATTTTACTGCAATCCAGAGAAATGGAATTAATATACAAATCTACCATGTCTAGGATGTGATTTGCACCCCTTTGGTTGGGGTGCCCTGATGCAGTACACAAGCTGCCCAACTGTACGGGGTGATCCTGCTCCTAACTTTTAGTCAGCCTCTTCAGGGTACACAGTTCCCATCTGCATCCTTTGCTGAAGCCTGGTGTGAGTAACTAGGCTCCAGTCTCGACCTCACTACCCCCATCTTTCTGGCTGACTTCATATTTGTCACAATATCTTTCTCCACCTTCATGACATCTGTTCTGTCTTCCTCCTGAATGAGGCTTAAGGGAGATTTTGCCTGCGGGAAGCCTTTGAAGAGTCAAAAGGTACCTCGCAGATGTGTTAGTAATACTATGGAAGCACATTAAAGTTGACATGATCTAACAGCATGCACCATATTTTCTTTACAGGCTGGTGGTTCTGTGCTTATTCAGCCAGCTGTCCAGAAGTGTACCATGCCCGGGCTGTGTCTGCCCTTGGAGGGGGCACCCCATGGGGCACACCCAGGATTTCTTGGCATCTCATGCCATCTGGACTTACTTTGTACAGTCACAGAGAGGCTCATGTGCCCAGCCAGGTTTCTGTACTCCATGTGCTTGGGGGACCAGAACCAAGCGGACGTCCTGGAAGTTGCATGAGTCTCCCACCCTGCTTGGCCTCAGCAATGAGCCTGGTCTGAGGGTAGCCTGTAGCAGTTAGAAGAGATGGAGGTGACGGCTTGCCATCCTTCAGGCACCAGCACCCCTGGCGGGAGTGTGGGTGTACAGTACAGGGATTCCAGAACTTCAGGGTTGATGGAGATTATTCTCTAGATTCCTGAGCACTTTTGCAATGAGTCTCATGAAGTGGTGAAGTTACTCCCAACAAGATCACTTGGGCTGACCGATACTTTGCATTCCTTTGTGGTGATCTGAAATGACATCAGCTGGATATGGTGACGCCAGTTCTCTCGTGGTGGCCAGAAGCTGTTGGAAGGCAGGACTGCAGCTAAAACTGACTTATTAAAATAAGAAAGTTATTAGCACATTAGTAAAAGTGCATTGGCTTGGTAGGCAAACAACTTTCAAAACGTAGACCTGCAGGGAGGAACAAAATAATGGAAAGTGTTCTGGGGAGGAGGAAAGTCTTACTTGATTTAATAAATACCTTTGAATAGCACCTGTATTCCTAGCCACACTCAGGGAGAAAGTCCCTGCTCCCTCGGAGCTGATGTGGTTGCAGTGCGAGACAGAAAGTAGGGAATCAGAAGTGACCTTCTTTAGCA